TATGGGCACCGATTCGAGTCCCGGCTGCTCCACTTCCAATCCAGCTCTCTGTTATAGCCTGGGAAAACAGTAGAAGGTGGCCCAAATCCTTGGGCCCCTGCACCCACATGGGAGACCCAGAGGAAGCTCCTGGTTCCTGGCTTCAAATCAGCGCAGCTCTGGCCATTGCCACCATCTGGGGAGTGAATCAGGGGATGGAAGACCTCTCTCTCTCTCTCTCTCTCTCTCTCTCTCTGCCTCTCCTCTTCTCTCTCTATATATAATTCTGACTTTCAAATAAAAAAAATCTCAAAAATAAAATAAATAAGAATTTCTCCAGCAAACACATCACAAGCAGTAAAAAGAAATAGTTGAAAATAATTTTCATACAAGTTGAGCATGCTCAGAGCAAAAATCCCAAAGCGGAAATGGTCCCAAATCTCAGACTTCCTGAGTACCAGCACAATGCCACAACTGGGAAATTCCATGCCAGGAAGCTTTGTTTCATGCACAGAATTATTAAAAACGTCATACGATGTTACCTTCAGGATATGTGAGTAAGGTGTACATGAAAGAAATTCATTTTGTATTTAAACTTGGGTCCCATCCCCAAGATATCTCATTAGGTATTTGCAGATATTCCAAAACCCGAACCCCCTAAAAAATCTGAAATCTAAAATACTTCTGGTGGCAGGCATTTTGGACAGGGGATACTCAACTGGAAATATATTTTACCTAGCTCGGTATATCCAGAAGAGTGTATTTCCACATGTAGTCAACATAAAAATGGCGAATGTGATATTTCCTATTTTTGGTGCCATTGCTGTTAGTCTTCAAAGTCTGGTGTGCATTCCATACCTACAGCAAGTCTCAGTTTAGACTCACCACGTTTCACGTGCTCAATAGCACAGGTAGATTGAGGGGAGGGCAGATGGATGTAGAACTGACAGCAAGGCCAGTGTGGCAGGAAGACAGGGAAGGAAGGGTGTGGATGAGATGGGTGCTGCCTTCCCCGTGGGCTGGCCCTGGAGGGGCTTCTAGGCTCCCATATGGGATGCCAGCGTAACAGTCGGCAGTTTTAACTGCTACACCACAGCGCCAGGCCCGATGTGTTTATTCTTATCTTTATAAAGCATCTACAAGTAAATGGGAAGTTACCTATGTGGTGCTGTGGACTGCATTGTGACCTCCAACATATACTGAAGCCCCAATCCCTGATGTGATGGTCTGACCACCCCTGGATATCCACAGGTGGCTGCTCCCAAGACCACTGCCCCATACCAAAATCCATGGATACTCCAGTCCCAGCTATACAATGGCATAGTGTTTGAACGTAATCTTTGCATATCCTTCCACAGACTAAATCATTTCCAAATTACTTATAATACCCAATATAATGTAAATGTTATAAAAGTAGCTGTTATACTGCATTCTCTAGGGAATAATGACAAGAAAACCATCTGCACATGTTCAGTACAATTTTTTTCAAGTAAGTTTCATACAAGGTTGGTTGAGTCACAGCTGTGGAACCCATAGGTGCAGCCCACGGATGTGGAGGGCTGACCGTGCTTGGAAAGACCTCTGGGAGGTCATCAAGTTTCAGTGTTATGGGTGTTTCAAGTTATGGGTGCAGGGCCCTGGGATGGAATTATTGTTGTCAAGGGAAGAGATGCGAGAGCTTTCTCTCTCTCTGCAGTGCGAGGACGCTATGAGAAGGCAGCCATCTAGAAACCTGAGAAAGGGCCCTTACTAGAACCCGGCCATGCTGGCACACACAGCTTGGACCTCTAGCCTTAGATAAATGTATGCACTCTATGGTGTGTTGTTATGGCAGCCCCAGGTGACTGAGACCTGGGCTCGTAGTATATTTCTGTTGGACAGCACTGGAGTAGACACTGGAAAACCACTCCATATCAGACTTTTGGTGCTTTTAACCATCTGCATTGTGTCTGTGAGGGATGCCTTCCAGAATATTCTCTGGGGAGCTCTGCCCACTGTTTTTTTTCCCCCCAGCAGCTGCTCAGTAAGCATCTGGAGATTAAGCCACTTTCCTAGCTGTAAGCAAGACAAACAATTCCTGGGTGATTTATGCAAGAGATAAATCCTTAAAAAGATATTGAGTCGCAGTGTTGTTTGGCAGGGCAGAGCATGTAATGCCCCTGACCTGAGCGGGCATCCTGCTCTACGTAAGAACGAGAGTTTAGGAGGGCACCTTCCCTGTATGATCTGGGCGTAGCTGGAGTGAGGCTTGTCCCTCACAGAACAAGGGGCAAGTTTTGTACTGTTACAAATCGTAGCGCTGGGGTTGGAACTTAGGTTACAACATTCTTTTAATATTCTTTAGAACTAGCCCCTTAGGCATCTTAGGCATCTGGGCTGTTCACCTTATCAGAAAGCCTGGCGATAGCATATAATCTTTATGGCTAGAGAGAGGCGCCAGTGAGGGCAACGGTTCCCTCCGAGCGACAGCGAGACTCAAGATGGCATCCCCGTGGTTTGCTGTCCCACAATCGGGATCTTTGTCGGGCTTGGAGGAGGCACTGAGGCAGGTAGCAAGGTAGAAAGGTCTGGTGGAGAAGCAGAGCTGGCTGCCCACTGGCATGTGCTTCTAGCCCCACTGGCTTCCAGCTCAGAGTTGTCCACTGTGCTTAAGTTGGGAACTCTAGCTGCAAGGGAGGCTGGGGAGGCAAGTGTTGGCTTTTCCGCTTCTATAATGGGAAGCAGGCTCTTAACACAAGAGGAGGATTCACTTCCCTAACTGGGAAGGGTCTTTAAAAGAAGGATGAGAGTCCTTTGCCAGGGCAGCCTGAGACTTTGTAATATTTTGACTGCATCACAACGGAAGTTTCCACCGAGACCCCTAAGCCAGGAGTTCCTCCATCCAGGAGCCTCCTCCAGTTTCCTGGTTCTTCCAGGAAATCAGGCACAACAGTTGATGCACACCTTATGCTGTGATCCTATCCTCATTAAGTTCTCAGGTGATGTTTTAATACGGAGACAACACAGGAGGGCGCTCTAACCACCCAGCAATACCGCGTGGTTGGATCCTACCTTCCTCCCCCTGAAAAGTGGGTCTTTATTTTCCTTAAACCTGCTTCGGATTTCTTCTTCCACGCAGGGCTACTGACTGTGCTGGAATACTTAGGTCCCTTAGGGAGCCTCCAGTCTGACAAAGATGCCCAAGACACAGCCCCAGTGGTGTCCAGGAACCGTGGCTGCTTGCACCTCAGGGTTGGAAAGGCGATTTTTGCTTCCAGGCTGTTCCCTGCCCTGCCACTAAGAAGGTGGAGACAAGGTTGCTCGCGGCTTCCATTCCCAGGTCAGCTGACCAAGGCAAACCTAGAGCAGAGCCGAGAGACCCGGCTGTTGCCTCAAGCATACCCCATTCTCCTGACTCATTTTCAGGTAACACCTGCTTCATGCCTGCATCGTTTCCAGTGGAGAGGGAGAGTGGGCTGGGACGGAGCAAACTATGGGGAGGGGGATGACACCATTGCTCCCAGAGTCCCGAGTTTCACATAAAAAAAACAAAATAAAACAAAACAGAATGCCGGCTTGCCCCTCGTTAACGAATGGTAGCACAGGGGAGGAACAGGCGTGCTCCAGGCGCAGATGGAGGAACACAGGTGTCCATCAGACCTGTCCGCTCCGCACCGGCTTCCCCACACGGGTCTCCCAGGCTGCAGCCGCGACTCCAGGAGGCCTGAGCGTGGGGCCGCCGCGGAGGCTGCTCCCTGGGCAGGCGCGCCGCCGGCTCCCGCCGGCGGTGAGGTTACTTGCGGTCAAGGGCGCAGCCTGGCAGAGTCGCTCTGGCTCTCAGAGCCAGGCTGGCTGGCAGCAGTGCGCAGCCCGGAGCTGCCTGCCCCGCGCGTGTCCCGGCTCGCGCCCAGGGCTCCCGCGCCACACGTGGACTCTGGACCAAGGTCTCGGGGCCCCGGTCAATAAAGAGAAGGAAAGGCGGGTAGAAATGGTGGAGGAGAGCAAGAAGGTGCCTGAGTCCACTCACCAAGTATCTACTGCGCTTCGGCTGAGGCTGGGCGCGCGCCTCGAGTCTGAGACACCGGTGCGCCCCCAGCATCTCCAAAGCTTGGCTCATTGTCCCCTCGAGGACGGTCACCTTGGGGCCCCTCTAGTCCTCCCCACCACCGCCGGACAGCTCCTGCCTCGTGCTGGAGACCACGCCAAACGCGTTCCGACCGGAACTCCTAACGCTCCCCGACATCCCCCAAGGGCGGGACCGGTTACCACCCGCGCGAGTCGGACGGGGGCCTGGCCTCGGAGAAGCTGGAGCCTCGCCCGGAGTTTTGCATCTCGTGAGAGGACCGGGACTCCGAGCAGGGTCTGGGCGACCCCGGAGCGCCGGTCACGGCCCACAGCCTCTCGGCTCGGCCGGGTGATGGGGCAAACTGCGCCGCCGGCACCTGTTGGCGGCTCCGGCTGCGCGTACGAGAGGGAGCGGGCAGGACCGAGAAACGCGCAGGTGGGGCGCCGAGTGGCTTTGCACTTTGCGAGAGGCCCCCCCCCCCTTCTTGGGGATCGCGGCCCTGGCGGGCGCAGGATTTCAAAAAACATCTACCTCGGGGCGGCTGGGGCAGCCGGAGGACCAGGGGTCCCCAAGAGCGCACTGCGGGGAAGCCGAGTGGCTGGAGTCGCGGCCGCCCGCGCAGCGGCGGGGGCCAAAGCGAAGCTGCGCGTGCCGGCGTCCACGCGGTGGGTGTGCGGTTCGTTCATTCAAACTTTGGGGAGTCTCGGGTCTCACGTCAGCGAAGGTGTGACCAATCAGAATTCAGGGTGGTGAATAAATTATGCAAATCGCCATCTGGCGATGGGTCAGATGACTCCGATACTTTAAAAAACGACCTCCCCGGGAGCTCGCGGCGTGACAGCGGCACGGCGGAGCGGGGAGCGCGCGGCCCTGGTCCTGCTGCGAGCCCCCCAGCGCGCCGCTCCTGGGCCGAGCTCCCGACTTCCACCCGCTGGTCGGGAGCACTCTGCCCGCCTCTGGTCTCCGGCTCCGGCCGCTGGAAATACCAAGGGGTGGTGCTTTTTTAAAACCCCTGTTTTAGGGGAGGGGGTGTGGCTGGCAAGGATGAGACGCTCCATTCCTCTGCTCTGTCTCTGGAGCGCTTGCTACTGCTTGGCCGCGGGGAGCCCGGCAGCCCTCGGTGCAGAGGAACAGCTGGAAGGTAAAGTGCTTGTGATTAGATCTCCCGCCTCCCCACTGCTTTTCCTTACCGAGCCCCTCTGCCTTGCCCGCTCTCAATCGGTCCCTCCTTCTTGCTGCGAAATCCTTTTTCCTTTCCCATTGGGCTGCCAATTTCCCCTTGGAGTCCCCTTGTTTCTGGGTGCTCCTGGCAAGTTGTCCCGTCGGCCGCTGGCTGCCGGCAGGTTGAGTGCCCTCCGCGGCCGGCAGGCCGGGCGGTCCATTGTACCGTCCATTGCACCATTGTACCGTCCAGCCAGCCCACTTGCCTGTTGCCTGCAAGCAGCCCTCAAACCTCCTTTGAACCCAAAGAGCTGAGAGCAAGTTCTCTGGGACCCCTCCTTTGAAGGCTGGCACCTGCGTTTGGAAGTTAAGGTGGCAGGGTGGCTGGCTTTGGTTAGATTAGGGCTTGCAGGCTGGATCTGGGTGTCTGCCTATTTGCCAGCTTCTTTCTCCCCAGCACTTTTTCCTTCCCACCCCTCCTCCTCCTCCTCGTTTTTAACATTTCTTCCTCTTGGCTTCTGTAGGGCGGTCTCTTCCATTGGAGCCAGGCAGCCCTGGAGGAATGAGGGCAGGATCTCCCAGTGCCAGTGCTAAGTCAGCTACCCAGTTAGCAGTGGACGGCTGGGGAGCCCCTAAACCAAACCCCATCCTTTCCTCTTCTACTTTTCTGCTGAGCTTAGGCCAAATGACACTGGTCTGCATCGGCTTATATACGCATGAGAGGGTTAATTTGAACAAATGGGCAAAGGCTTGCTGTATCTAACGTGTCTCTAACTCCGGTACTAACTGGAAGCGTGTCTTTAGTCCCTGTGCTGCAAAATGCAGTTCCTTCCAATGTTGTATTCTGTGCATCTGAGTATGCGCGGGCTGTTTCATTCAAAAAAGCTCTCATTATGTTTCTGCTCGGTTTCAGACGCTCTTCTAGGAGTTGAGGATTCAGGACTGAGAGCAAAGCAGGGGACAGTCCTTGCCCTGGTGGGCTCACATCTCAGCAGTGGGCAGACAGGAAGTCAGCCAGTGGAAGTGTGTGCACAATGCTCAGTGCAGTGGAGAGAGAGAGGAGGAAGGTGCTGCCGTTGTAACATCCTTGAGTAAGGAGGCGAAGGAGCTGGGAGAAGCAGCTGGGGGACAAGCCTAAAGTCACAGAGGCTGAGGGACCTCCCGGCCACAGGTGGCTGGAGGACTGTGGGGGCAAAGTCGGAGCCAGCCAGATGCCGTGGGGAAGCTGCTTTGTAGGTTTGTGAGTTCATCCGCAAACCTGTCTCAGGGAGCCGGCAGACTCATTTCCTCCCAGGTTTCCCCATCTGGCCCCTCTTTGGTCGACCTTCTGGGTGGGTGCTGGGGAGCTGCCGAGCTGGTTGTGTCCACAGCTCAGATTTCTGCCAGTTGGGCTTTTGTTCTTTGCTTTCATTACAGCTAACCTGAGCTCCGCTCCTGTGCGTTCGGCCGCATTTTCTGGAACCTTATCTCTTACGTGTGGTGCGTTCTTCCCTCTCTCCTCTCCCCCTCCCTCCCTGTCTCTCTAGCACTGTGGATTCTGTTTCCATGATTCCTTATGCTTCTGAGCTCTGGGGTGACTTCAGCTCCTGGGATGCTGTTGCTGTCTTTGCCCTGCATTGCTGGGAGATCCGAAGAGTTGGCTGCTGGAACTTCCTAGTCTGTTAATGAGTGATGCTCACCAGGTTGGCGGAAAAGTCGCTGCCTAGGGTCCGTTTACGACTGCCTGAAGGAGGATGGTGGTGACAGTGCCTGCCTAGTGGCCATCATGGACGTGGCTGTGCCATTGGACCAGACCCACCTCCTAGGTAGCCCTGCGGGTGAGCAGTGGAGCTGAAAGGGACTGCTCTGTTGCATTAGGGTTTCCCCATGACTCCAGGCATTCATTGAACAAGATGTATGAATGCCTGCTACCTGCCCTGTCCAGCCCAGTGTCTCCAGAGTAAGTTCTGGAGTTGAGATAGGGACCCTAGGGGAAGTCCACTGTGTAACGGATCAAAGCCTCTTACTGCCAACTCCAAGATACAAAATCTCTCAAAATCGGAAAATGTGTTGGTACCTTGTTTGGCAGCAACATTCAGCCTTCCTTGATTTGGATTCATTTGACCACAAAGCCTGACCCAAACTATTTGTAGGAGGCTGTTTGTAATCTTCATTTTTTTCCCTCAATGGTGAGCAGTCATATATTTCCCTATAGAAATATGAGTGTGTTTCTGGGTGGGACACTAGGAGTGTGATAGAATGTATGGTGTACGGGGGCCAGCGCTGTGGCACAGCAGGTTAAAGCCCCGCCCTGCAGCTCTAGTTTCCTATATGGGCGCCAGTTCAAGTCCCGGCTGCTCCACTTCCGATCCAGCTCCCTGTTAATGCCTCTGGGAAAGCAGTAGCAGGTGGTCCATGTCCTTGGGCCCCTGCACCCACATGGGAGACCTGGAAGAAGCTCCTGGCTCCTGACTTCAGATCAGCTCAGCTCCAGCCATTGTAGCCATTTGGGGAGTGAACCAGCGGATAGACAACTTCTCTCTCTCTCTCTATAACCCTGTCTTTAAATAAATTTTAAAAATACTTTCAAAAAAAAAAAACACAAAGAACTGGAGATAATTTAAAAAAAAAGAATGTATGGTGTATGTTTCCATAATTCCTAGAGTCTGACAGTTTGTGAATTCTGAACTCAACTGATCCCAAGAGTTTCAAGAAAAGAATTGAGGGACCATACTCTAAAAGTAGGAACTTGAGGGAAGGAAGAAATCCTTTTTTGTAGGGAAGAAGAGAGAAAAGCAACAAAGGGACCTGTTTCTTTTTGAGTCAGAGTAATTAATATGAATGATTCATGAATACCGTTGGGGCCAGTGTTGTAACACAGTGAGCTAAGCTGTAGACTGTGATGGTACCCCATATCGGAGTGCTAGTTCAAGCCCTGGCTGCTCCACTTCCGGTCCAGCTTGCTAATGTGTCTGGAAAGGCAACAGAGGATGGTTCAAGTGCTTGGGCCCCTGCCACCCACGTGCAAAACCTGGATGGAGCTCCAGATTCCTGGCTTTGGCGTGGACCAGCGCTGGCCATTGTGGCCATTTGGGGAGTGAAGCAGAGGATAGAAGATCTCTCTTTCCCTCTCTCTCTGTTACTCTACCTTTCAAATAAAACAAATAAATCATTAAAAAATTAATACTCATTAAACATAGAGGAGAGGTCATTTTTCTACCTTCACAGTTCTGGAAGGTGACGGAGCCTTCAACAGGTGTAAAAGCTGAAATCCACATGGCTTATGTCATTTGCTCAAGGTTGAACTCGAACTTGAACCAGACATCTCACTCTCCAGATCCTCTAGAAGCACCCACACCATGTTTTTTCTCCCCAGGTGGGCTCCGCACAGCCAAGGATGGACCGGCTGCAGCCAAAGCCGCCGTGCGGTTTCACTTCCGCACCTCCAAGGGCCCGGAACGTGAAGGATGCTACCTCTCCGTCGGCCACAGCCAGCCCTTGGAAGACTGCAGCTTCAACATGACAGCCAAAACCTTCTTCATCATTCACGGGTGGACGGTGAGCCCGGGCGGGAGCTGCCTGCGGCGTTGCACCAGATTTGCTTCCTTTTGTTGTGGCCCATTAGAGATTAGACTGGTGCTTCCAGGTTCCAAACGCTCTCCCCCGTTCCTTGTGGGCTGCTTGTGTTTCAGACAGCTGTGAAGGATGTAACGGGCACTGTGCAGAGGGGGCCGGGTGGACTCCAGCAGGGTGGTATTTAGTGCTGGCATGCAACGGGCTTTCAGAAAGTGGCTCTCCTGAGGGCTGCAGCCCGGCTCCGCTGGCTCTTAGGATCCCTCTAATTACACTTAATTACATTGGTCAACCACTGCCTCGAGCGGGCCATCCGGCCCCACCGGGCGAGCTGAACTGCAGCAACTTGACGGGCTCCAAGAAGCTGCGAGGAGCCAGCTGGCCTGAGTGGCTGGCGCTGTTGGCACGGTGCCCTCCTGTTTGCATGGGGATGGCTGTGTTTAAAGGCACTGGAACTCTTTATGCGCCCTAGCTGAGCAATTCCCATTGAAAGGCCCATGACAAACTTCAACAAAAAAGGGCTCTAACGCTCAACTTCAGAAGCTTTTGACCAGCAAGGGATTTATTCATTCACAGAGTGACAGTTGGTTGGAAAATGGCACTATTAAGTGTGCAGGTTTCTGCCCGGGCTAATTGGGAGGGGACATTCCTACTCTTGATGATGAGAAATTCATAGCCATTGCGTGTTTTCTGGGTCTTTGGGTCCATCACCCGTGGTGGGGGCTGGGGGTGGGAGGAGAGTAGTTATCTATCCACCCAACGTGAATGGAGGTGACGAAGGACCTGTCCATCCATCCATCCATCGTCCTTATCCTGCTGCCTACAGTTGGAGTCATGAATTCGAGTCTTTTTAAGGCGCTCTGTCAAAATGCAAATACAAACTGCCTCCGACTTACAAATGGGTTGCATTCCAGAAAGTTCTTTTGTAATCTGTTTGGAACTTGGAACAGCAGTTTCCCAGAGAAGCGAGACTGTCAGTGGGGTTTGGGTTCCCAGGCTAGGCACAGAAAATCTATTTATTTGATAATGTTCCTGTGGATGGGTTTACAACTGGTCCTAGTCACCATTTATAACTTTGTTTTTGTGAGAAAATGTGTTCTGGGTTCTAATTTGGAATTCCAGGGACAGATTTTCCCTACGCCGGGGTCAAGGGCGATGGCAGAGATGGGTTGTGGGAAGGAGCCGTTTGTTAACATTGCGCTTGCCTGGGAGACAGCGGCTCCCTGCATCTCTCCAAGAGCAGCAGATTCTCCGGGGCAACCTCCCCAGCTGCCTTTGAGAGATGGACCAGGCCATTTGCCTGACTGGGGCAGGGACTCAGCCCTGGTGCCCGCACGAGTCACAGTGGGGCAGCAGCATGGGACACCAGCTACGGAAGTTTCCATGGGAGACCTGGGAGTGGGAAGAGTGATGGAAGACAAACATCCGGTGGCCGTTCCGCCCGCAGGTGGCTGGCTCCGTTCGGCCAGCGCCGGGGCTCTACAATCGGCTGGGGAGAGGGTTGTGGGATGGAATACTCCGTTCCTTAGGATTTCTGAAACCCAGGATGACAGTAGTAACCGAAACGTCTCCTCTTTTCTCTGCAGATGAGTGGCATGCTTGAAAACTGGTTGCACAAACTCGTGTCAGCTCTGCAGATGAGAGAGAAAGACGCCAACGTGGTGGTGGTTGACTGGCTCCCCCTGGCACACCAGCTGTACACAGATGCTGTCAACAGCACCCGGGTGGTCGGTCTCAGCGTAGCAAAGATGCTCGACTGGCTGCAGGTAACTGGGGCCTTCCCCAGCGGGACCCTCCCCCTGCGGGTCACCCCCGTGTTAGCGTGAACTTCCGGAGTTTGACCAAAATCTTTGGGATGAACATTTTTGTTGAATGAAGTATTGCTGGTAGTACTTCCCAGCTGGGACTCCGAGAGAGCCTTCAAATTACCCATAGGCCTCTGCACTGCATCCTGATACTAGATTTGCTGTGAGCAAGTTGGCATTATGGGTTGTCACCTGTTTGTCTTAGAAAGCGATACCTTTGGTTTGATTGGCAATGGCCAGGAGCCAGACAGCCTTGTGATCCTAAATGCTGGCATCTGTGCTTGCCTCTGAAGTGTGGCTATGCCAAGGGTGGGTTTAAAATCTTAAATAACAGTAAAGCATGGAAAACAGGCCTTGAGGTCTTGTGTTTACCTTGTGCAGGTCAATGGTTTGCCTGAGGGCAATGGACTGCAAAGGAGCAGGAGGGGCAGAGGCACATGGGCACAGGGACCCCTTTATCTGGGAGGTCCCAGCCTGACCTTCTTCTCGCCCAGGGGATCTGAGGAATTCTGGCAGAAAATTCTAGAACAGTCCTTCTCTGCCTCAGTTATTTGAGAGAGTTTGGCTCCCGAGTCACAGGGTCAAAGGCATACTTCCTCAGCCCCACCAGCTGGGTGTTCTGCTGGGGACAAAGCTTTGGCCCTGGGGTCCCAGGCAGGCTGGTGGTGGGGAGGTTGGCAGCTCTGGGGCCAGGGTGGAGGTCAGGGCCTCAGAGAGCAGGCAGGGAGACGTCGCAGCAGGCTGCGATGGGCACCTCATTCTCCAACGAATGCAAGTGTGGTCCAAGCTTTGGTCTGGCAGCTACTGGTGGAAAGAGCAGAAAACACGTGGGGGAACGGTCAGGTGGGCAGCCTCTTGTCACTCTCCACCCACCTCCAGCACTTGGCGTTTAAAGTGCCGCCGTGTCCTTTTGACCTGTCCTGGCTGTGACCCACGCATGTGGCCCGGCCAGCAGTGCTGGTGCCGTCCTCTTGTGTTGTGAGCTGCTGAATCGGTGGGGACCTGGCGGGCTGGGGAGCATGTTCTGAGCTCACACACTTGGGCGGCTCCCTGCAGGGCAAAGACGGCTTCTCTCTTGGGAACGTCCACTTGATCGGCTACAGCCTTGGCGCGCACGTGGCTGGGTTTGCGGGCAACTTCGTGAAAGGCACCGTGGGCAGAATCACAGGTAAGCTCCGTGACCCCGGGCTGCCTTGGCTGCTCTCTCTGTCCCAGAGGGCCCCGAACGCAGCAGCGGGGTCACAGACGACTTGCTGTGGAAGGCACCTGGGGAACACCCAGTTCCGAGACTCCCAAATGTTCTGAGTCAAATGGAGTCTGTGCAAGACCCCAGTGTGTGAGACACGCGAATGGAGGTGGTTCTGGCGGAAGCTGGGTGGGTGTTCCCCTGGCTGTTTCAGGCTTCCTTTTCCATGGAGGACTCTCAGGGTCTCAGAGCACTAAGGAATGTGGCTTGGGAACCTCTGATCTAGTCCAACAGGTGAGGGAACAGGCACAGAGAGGCGAGGCTTGCCTGGGGACAAACAGCTAAAACCCAACAAGCAGAGGCAGGTGTGGCCTGGCCTCCATGCCTCTGGGTGCTCGCTCGAGGCCTCTACCCAGTGGTTGGCTCCGGGAACTCATGGGAAAGGACTTGATGGTGGCTTGCAGTAGTTTGCCTGCTACCTCCGATCTCTCTTTCATCCACTTCATCCACCCATCGCCTCTTTCTGATGGCAGGCTGCCGTGTTGATTGATGGCCGTCACGTGTCCAGTGGGTTGGTCCAACAGTATTGGTAAAGAAACCAACTCAGGTTGTCAGTAGAAAATTGAGTTTTCCATCTGGAATGCTGGCTTTTGGATGAAATGAGAGTTCGGATTAAATCACTTAATGACTGTGCACTAAAATTCAAGGTCGATTCGTTGCCCTGGTCTTTGACCTTGCTGCTAGGGTTCTCATAGTCGTGCTCAGCCCACATGGCCACTTCCTGCTGCTGTAACTGAACGCCAGGGGCTGCTTCATTTGAGGCACTTATTTGGCCGATGGTGCCGGGGGCTGGGAAGGCAGGCTGGCCCCTGATCCGTGTCTGGAGGGGCCATTTCTTGCTGTGTCATGATGTGACAGAAGGTGTCTCATGGCCAGGACAGAGCAAGGATGCTGGTTTGGGTCTCTCCCTCTCCTTATAAAGCTGCAATGCCACCATGGGCACCACCTCATGATGTCATCTAATCCTATGTACCGCTTCAAGGCCCCGCCTCCAAATGCCATTAACATGTGAATTTGCGGATCAACTTGCCAGCAGGTGAATGAATGAGTGTGGTACGCATTCAAACCACAGTGGTGGAGAGTTGATGAATTCCTTTCCTTGTAGTGTTTTCATTTAAAACCAAGATTCAGGTAGAAAGGGCTCCTTAGCTAAAGAATGATTGAGTGAAAGTAGATTTTCCGGTTTCTGTGATAAGCTGGTGAGAGATGTGTGAGATTTTGTGGCCCCTTCTCGGCTGCCGTCCCGGAACTGGAGTCTAACGTATGCATCTAATAATTGCACTCAGCCTAGCTCGACAGCTTAGTTTTTGGCTTCCAAGACCAGGGTTTGAGCTGTCCAGCGTGGGCTGTCATTGTGTGGTCACCCGTGACTGCTCCTCCACCTGTTGCCGGTGCTGCCACTCTGAGCTCTGTTTGCCTGAGGGCCTCGTCCCAGCCCCGGAATGAGAGGCCGGAGGTTTTGAAACCAGGCCAGCCGGGCTCAAACTGCAGCACACACAGGGCCCTTGTCTGAGTCGGGGCCCTGAGTGTCGTTGGCAATGAGAACACGCTGCAGACCCTGCCCCGTCTGTTGCTGAATCTGCAGTGAGACGGGCTGCGGGAGCTCTGCAGCTCTTCCTCCCTGCTGTTTGGGTGGCAGCTGCTGCCTGGAGGGTGTCTCCCCTGGGGCCAGCAGGGGAGACAGGAAGAACTGAATCAGCACCATGCCCATGTCTCCATGGGGCCTAGGGCGTATGCGTCCCTTTCCCCTGGACTTCCTCTGTGGGGCAGGGCCCTGGCTCCTGTCCAGTGCCAAGCAGCACCTCGGAGGGCAATGGCTTACCGGATACATGCTGCTGTTGCATGTCTGATGGGGGAAGCCGAGCCCTCGTCTCCTCCCTCAGTTAGTGGACTTCTCAGGGGCCTGTGAGCCACATGTTCCAGCTGGGAAGAAGACAGAGAATGCAGTGAGTGTGGCATTGAGGCCAGTGAGGTCACAGTGCAGGGGCCACCAGGGAGGACATGTCCAGGACACGTGTGATGAGTGGTGCGACCCCGCACATTTTATACATGGGCAGACCAGGGCTCAGTGGTGATGTAGTCGGGGCCCAGTGTCTGGCACCCCACGAGCAGCAGAGCTGGGATTCAAACCCAGGCTTTCTGATTCCAGAGGCTGCCCCTAGCCTCTGGGCTAGGCTGCCTGTCTTGCGCTGGGAGAGGTAAGAGAGCTTCCAAAGCACAGCGGGCTGTGCCCTGCTCTGCCAGCCCCAGAGGTTTGCCTGTGTGTGTGCCCATGTGTGTGAATATGTGTGCAAGTGCATGCATGTGTGTTTGATTTGCTGGGCAGAGAATCTGCAGAAGATTCCACGGCTGAGTGCAGGCGGGGTGGGAGTTCTCCATCTACCCTTTTACTTTGGAAAGATTCAGTTCTCTCTCTGATTCCTAGTTAGAAAAGTGAACGAGACCACATCCCCCCAGAATCTGTGGGCCCCGGACATGTGGCAAGGGCAGTCAGAGCAGGGAGGCCGGCCCAGGCTGGACAGGAGGAGGCTCCGCCTGCACCAGCCAGCGGCCTGTGAAGCCCGTCAGCCGCTGGCATTCCTCCGGCACGGCTTGGTTTCCATGGTGCTGACCGTCTGCTGGGGACCTTTGTTCCCACTCGCAAAGAGCCTCTCTCTTGTGTTGGATGCAAAGCAGAAGGTTCCTCTCGCTTCCTTTTCCCTCCTGCAGGGCACATGGCGGGAGGCAAGGAGAAGCCACTACGTCAGTGTTGGGGCCCCTGCAGCCTCTGGAAGGGGCCATCATGGGCTTTCTGGGGGACACTGATTTTGTCCCCTCTTTCTCTCGGGTCCTGGGCTTGGGATGAACCCCACACAGCCTCAGTCATACGTGTGCTTAGCCCAACTTCTGGGAAGGACTTGGGGTTCCCGTAATGAGTTCTCTGAGTGTCCTATCTGGGCAGGAGTTCTGTCTTTTTGTTTATTCTAAAATGACTTTTTCAAGCCTCCTGGTGTGCTCCCTGGTTCTCCTGTGGTGGGGCACGTGGGTCTGCTCCTGGTCACGTGTCTGCCTGGTTTGGTGCACCTGGAGCAGGGTTTCTCAACCTAGGCACTATTGGCCTTTTTTTTTTTTTTTTTTTTTTTGACAGGCAAGAGAGAGACAGAGAGAAAGGTTTTCCTTTTGCCGTTGGTTCACCTCCAATGGCCGCCGTGGCCGGCGTGCTGTGGCCGGCGCATCACGCTGATCTGAAGCCAGGTGCCAGGTGCTTCTCCTGGTCTCCCATGCGGGTGCAGGGCCCAAGCACTTGGGCCATCCTCCACTGCACTCCTGGGCCACAGCAGAGAGCTGGCCTGGAAGAGGGGCAACCAGGACAGAATCCGGTGCCCCGACCGGGACTAGAACCCGGTGTGCCAGCGCCGCCAGGCGGAGGATTAGCTTACTGAGCCACGGCGCCGGCACTATTGGTCTTTGGTAAGGGTGATGCTTCGTGTGTGTGTGTGTGTGTGTGTGTGTGTGTGTGTCTTGTGCCTTGTATGATGTTTAGCTGGAGAATGAACCAGTGGATGGGAGATTTCTCCCCCCCACCCCCCTCTCTGTCTCTCCCTCTCTCTGACACTCTACCTTTCAAGTCAATTAATCAATCAACCTTTAAAATAATTCTGTTTAAATTAAGGCTGGCTGTCAGTGGCAGAGTGGATGGTACCAGCCTATTTCAGGGAGTTGGAGTTCTTTCTAGAATCACTCTAGTGCCGACAGCCCATGATGCCTGAGCACCATGGGGCTGTGGGAAGCTTGTGGCTGGCTGAGGGGTCAGGACAGGTGCAGCCTCTGGAAGCAAGTGCAGCAGCAGGACTCGGTTCCCACAGCCAGGGCTTAGGGTCAACTGCGTGCAGAAATGGCTTCCTTATTTTCCTCCATGCCCTCCATGTCTGGGTTTGCAGGGCCAGGCTCTGAGTGTGTCCTCATTCTGTGCTCTCAGACTGGACTTCCAGGCAGGACTTGTGGCCAGGTGCCACTGACACAACCCCTCTTGGCCCCTGCCTCTGCCACCACAGGTTTGGACCCTGCTGGGCCCATGTTTGAAGGGGTGGACATCCACAGGCGGCTGTCCCCGGACGACGCAGACTTCGTGGACGTCCTCCACACCTACACGCGTTCCTTTGGCATCAGTATCGGCATCCAGATGCCCGTGGGCCACATTGACATCTACCCCAACGGCGGTGACTTCCAGCCGGGCTGCGGGCTCAACGATGTCCTGGGATCCATCGCCTATGGCAGTGAGTACCTTACTCCCTTCTTCCTGCTGACCACAGTTCAACCCGGATTCTTCTAAAGCAGCCAGAGCTGTGCGTGCCCCCATGCCATCCACTTGGCTCTTCCCACGTTGCCCACATGGGCCTTAACACTGTGTTTCGTGTCTCACCACCCTACCCCTCTGCAGCCAGCCAGCGGTCTCTGCTCATGCTTTGAGATTGATTTTTATGGCAAAAGGAATGCATATGTGTTTATTGAAAAAAAAAAAAAGCATCAGGCAATACAGAATTGCATAAAGCAAAAAAGTAACAATTCCCCTTCACTTCTGCCCCCACTTTCACTCCTCAGAGGTAGCCAGTATGGACATTCTTGTGTGCATCCCTTTTAGTTTCTTTTATTTGCAAATTAATTTATGGGTGTGTTAATATTCAGGTAACACTGCAGGGTGTGCAGAGTGCAAGAGAAGTTCACCCTCCCTCAGGCTGAGGGCTGAGAGCATCTCTTAAGGCTTGTGGTGCCCTATGGGGTGGAGGCAGCTTTGCCCAAGTTTCCTTAGGGGCCCAGGTATTACTGAAACTATTGGCTTTAGCATGTGGTTATTAGAAGGGGTGGAGTGCTGTGGCCAGAAAATCCAAACTGTACTCGTAACTTTGCAACCAACGCTGAGCAGGTCTCCACCTTCATGAGCTGTGATGCAGGGATTGCACAGAACGGGGCTGGCGTTGTCCTAAAGTGTCAGCTGGTGCCTCGTTCAGGCTCTGCAGTCCGCAGTCTGCTTCAGCTACTCCACTCTGCTGTGGCCGTGTAAAGCAGCCACGGAGAATACATACAGCATGAATGAAACTCTGTTACAAAGCCCTGTGGCCAACCTGCCAGCCGGCAGTATTTTGTTGAGTTCTGGACCAGAGGATGTTTTGCATCTGCTCCACTTCCAGCATTTTGTGATAGTATTAGGACTGGGTGATTCCCACTGCACAGCTGGTTTGCATTCTCCATTTAGCACTGATTATGTGTACACCTTGGTCTTGGTTTCTTTATGTATGTTAATGCTGTCTTCTCACCAAGAGAGCGGATGGGCATTTAAGGCAGGAAAGGCCTTCCCTTCTTCCACAGGCTAATAGGATCCTACCACGACACTGGGCATATATTAAGGGTTACGCAAATAGAAACACTCAAGGCAGCCATAAACATAGCTCTCATTGCCGAAGTGTGCGGTGCTTATTGACTGAGGGGTCGGTTCCTCTCGCGTGTTCTCCACCTGTCGCAGCGATCGCGGAGGTGGTGAAGTGCGAGCATGAGCGGGCCGTGCATCTCTTTGTGGACTCCCTGGTGAACCAGGACAAGCCGAGCTTTGCCTTCCAGTGCACAGACTCCAACCGCTTCAAAAAAGGGATCTGTCTCAGCTGCCGGAAGAACCGCTGTAACGGCATCGGCTACAATGCTAAGAAGACGAGGAATAAGAGGAACACCAAAATGTACCTTAAAACCCGGGCAGGCATGCCTTTCAGAGGTAAATTCAGCCCCCAAAAATGTACCTGAATCTTCTTCCTCCTTCTAAACGCCATGTTGCAGGACAGGGCGCATCCGGCCTAGGAGACTTGGCCAACAGTTAGATCAGACTGTTGCAAATCAGAATACCTTTTGCATTCCCTAGGAAAGCTAATCTTTAAAAAATGAATGGTGACGACTGTGTTTGTGATGTACTATCACTCCGTGATCACAATATCAACATTTAAAATTTTTGTCCTGCATTTCACTTTTCATAGCTGTTTCATATTTGTTTTCTCATCACGCTAAATCCGAGGTAGCACAGAGAGGTGACCAATTTCATGGCATAGTATAAAGTCATCAGACTTTGTGAGTTTTAGTGTACATATGATGAAGCTGAGGCTCAGAAAAGCTAAGTCCTAGGTCCCTTATACAGATCACACAGCTAGAAAGTGGCAAGGTCAAATCACACGGGGTCTCCTGACCCTCGAAGTTCAAGGCTCCTTGTTTTATACTGCAGTGGCTTCTTTTGCCATCAGACAGGGTAAGACCATGGGAGGCAGAAGCTGGGCTGGACCAAAGGAAGTGAATCCCTTACCCCTCAGCTGGGCCAGGGGTGCCCTGAGCTGGCGAGCAAGGCTCACAGGTGTCCTGTCGTGCTGTCTCTGCAGTTTACCATTACCAGATGAAAATCCACTTCTTCAGCTACAAGAGCGTGGGAGCAATCGAGCCCACCTTTTACGTCACCCTTTATGGCACTAACGCCGAGTCGCAGGTCCTGTCTCTGGAGATGTAAGTTATGTGTTTCCATTGCTGCACTGGGGACTGAGGGCAGGTTTTGTCTGAGAATGAGGGAGTACAAGGGAGCCTGGGAGAACAGGTGCGGGAGATGGCTTGGGGAGGAGCTGGGTGGCTCAGCGGCCTCTGCGCCCACCCTCTCTCTGCTGTGTGTTCCGGCAAGCCCTTGGCTCTGCTCATTGCTGGGAGGGAAGCTCCAGGGATGACTCAGCAGCTGGGCAGAAACTGCTGCTTCATTTCAGGCCACGCCTGGCCCTGGAGGCTTTAGGCAACCTGGCCTTTCCTGAGTGACGTCCTTGGGCCGTTGTTAAGGATCTGGCTGTGGGAAGGGACGCAGCAGTGTGACTGTACGTGTGGAGTACCCGCAGGGCTAAAGCACCATGCTGAGTCATTTGGGCTGGTGAGGAAGCATCATCAAAGCTCGCGCTTGTCGTGGCTTGGGGTCTAGATGGAGACCAGGGTCTGTACTCACACTCACACACACACCCCAGGGGTCAGGTGAGAGGTGCAGGCCGGGGCTGGGAGTGGACAGGGAGCTGCCTGTGGGCCGACAGGACCAGCACACTGTGGGCTGGGTGTGACTTCTGTGTGCTTTCTCATTTATCTACTTTCTTGGTCCTGCGGTGACATATACAGGGTTCAAGGCCGGGGAGGGACTGCACACCTGTTTCTCTCCAGCGGGGTAGAGCAGGTGCTGCCCTGTGTGGCTGCACAGCTCTCCAGGTGGCAGAGGAGTGAGGGCGTCTTCCCTCTCACCTTGCAGAGTGGAGCAGATCGGGCTAAACGCCACCAACACCTTCCTGGTCTACACCGAGGAGGATTTGGGTGACCTCTTGAAGATCAAACTCACCTGGGAGGGGACATCTCGGTCCTGGTATGACCTGTGGAGGGAATTCCGCAGCTACCTGTCTCAGCCCCACAGGCCCGAGCGGGAGCTCAGTATCAGGCGCATCCGGGTCAAGTCCGGGGAGACACAGCGGAGGTGAGTGCCTCGGGCCCCTTCCGCCTCTGTGGACGGCAGGTGCAGGCCGTGTCTCTGCTGCGCCTTTTCCTTTGCTGAGATCGCACCCCCAGACCTTGGTATCAGAGCACGCAGGCTCCAAACACCTTGGCCAGGAAAAACGACGCCAGGGCAAGGCTCCTGTTGATGGGTGCACATTTTCTGCCCTGACCACAGGCCCTTGGCTGAGAGGAGTGGGTAAGAGGGGGCTGGAAGGCAGCCTTTGTTCTGTTCCTAACCCCCATGTTAGCCTGGAAGAAAGGGCTTCCCAGGACAAGGCTCTGTTTCCTCTGGGGTCTGTGCAACCAACAGGCTTTGCTTGCTCTTGCCCAGAGCTTCTGCCGGTGTCTCATGGCTAGGGCGGGGTCTGTGGCAGGGGGTGTCTGCCTTCCCCCAGCATCCCATGTCCCCGGCATTATTGTGTCTCTCTTCCTGTGAGTCAAGGACTTGGGGCTGGGACCCTAACTTGAAGTAGCAGAGAATTCTGTGTGTCGTGCTAGCTGGCACTTCCCCATGTCTTTGAACCCTGAGCATGGCATGAAAGATCCAGACTTGACATGTCAGTTCCTGAGCCCGTGCCTTGCCTCTGGGAGCCAGGGAGGCTGCAGAGCCAGGCCAGCGTGGGGGACCTTTGGTCTAGAGTGATGGTTTTCCTTAACCTGGGTCCTTCAGCCAGCCTTTGGAGAGGTCACTGCCAACCCCAAGAAGGGAGAAAGCAATGTCCTCCTTCCTTGTCCCTCAGCCAGCATTTTCTCCATTGCAAACCTTCCCGTCTTGTATCCACCCAGCCCGGGCGGCCCAGTTTGGCAGCAGAGGCTAGCAGAGTGGAGTGGAGTGGAGGCCAGGGTCCCTCAGTTGAGCGGTCCCGGTCTAGAACCCTATGGAGCACAGGGTGCTGGCCTGTGGTCTGGATGCTCGGGAGTCTCCTGCTTGTCTGGGCTCTGTTCATGTTTATGAACTATTCCAGATGGGCAAATCCTAGAAATCTTTGTAGCAAGATGCATTTGGAGCCCTGGGAGGAACCATGGGCAGTTCTGAGGGCTCTAGAGTCCAGCCTGGCATGCCTGAGACTTCTCTCCCCTCCTCCGTCAGCTTCAAGTCCAGAAAGCACCATCTAGACCCTTCTAGAATGCTGGCTTCATGAGGGGTTCCTTTTTCTTCCTAGACTGACGTTTTGCGTGGAAGACCCCGAGAAGACCAGCATAGCCCCTGGCCAGGAGCTCTGGTTTTACAAGTGTCGAGACGGCTGGAGAATGAAAAACGAAACCAGGTCAGCAGCGCTGTGTCAGATGCCGCACACAGCACATGGTGCCCGACACCTAGCACTGTGGGGCTGGGACCTGGGCGCTTGGGGCACAGCATGAACCAAATCGGGACTGTCGCTAAATCCTAGGGTTGATGCTCAAGCCACGCATCGCAGGCTGACATCTTGTCTGTGGTAACCAGGGCCACCGGAGGGTTCCAGCACTCGTAGCTTTCTTCTAGGCTCCAGGGGGGAGTGGGGAGTGGGCCAGGGGGAAAGTGGGGAGTGGGCCAGGTGTTCTGGAAGCCAGGCTGGTGCGCGTGGATCTGAGTGGGTCTGATCCTCTGCCTCTTTGAGACACGGGAATGCAGCTGTATGTGGAGCTGTGTGTGGCAGAGGCTGTGTGGCTTCAGTATCCCCTCACCCTGTGCACGTGGCTGCAGATCAGGGAAGGCCCCTGTCATGGTGTGAAGCAGTGGGCTCACCCAGAGGAGCCAGGCATGTGCCTTCTGAGCCTCCTGTGCACTGAGAAGGAGGGAGACCCTGTCCCCTCCGTCTCTACCTCCTATCCCTGACCCTCACCAGGGCATCAGATGAGAATCCCGCTGCCAGGCCCTGAGCCTGACCTGGGCTCCCTGCCGCACAGCGCCTTCCACAATCATCTGATTCCATCACCAACCCCAGGAGGCAGCTGCTGTACCTCTGTGTGCAGATGAAGAAACTGAGGCCAGGGGGTGGGGTGAAGGCACTCCCCAGGGTCCCCCAGCCGCGTTCTGCTGGCTCACATGAGTCCCCTCTCCTCTGCCTGGGTATCCACTGCCGGGCAGCTGCGGCCCTGCCCTGGGGTCCCCTGGGATTGCACCCCCAGCGGCTCAGTCTCCTGCTTGGGAGCGTGCATGGCATCACAGCACAGCACTCAGGGCCATGTGAGGCCTGGATCTCAGCAAGGGGCTCCGTCTAGTGCAGGCTCACCTGATTGTCTGCTGTCATCATCATTTTAATTCTTTGAATTTACTCCTTTCCAAGTGCTTCCACCTACAGTGATTCATCGGTCCCCAGAGCAGCCACGTGGGCTAGACACAGTGGGGAAGGGTCGCTGGGCTCAGGGGAAGGGATATGATGCCCTGCTTTTCCTTTCTGCTCCACAACCCCCTCCTAGTAGACAGCTACACGGGCAGCCTGATAGAAAACAGATGACCCCTTCTCTGCCCTCCAAGGAGCCGGAGGGATGAAGAAGCAGCAGGAAGTTGTGACTGCCTAGACATACGGGGAACACCTGTGCTGGTCTCCATCCAGTCATGGGTCCTGTTCACCTGCGCTCCCATAAGGAGTCTGGGGTTCAGACAAGTTCAGTAACGCCTTTGCGCGGCTGACATGGAATCCAGGTTTCTCGGCTCTCAGTTACCCTTGTATTTCTTGGTGTAGACAGAGAGGACACTTGGATGATTCTCCTCACACCGTGTGTGCATGTGTGTGTGTGTGCGTGTGTGTGCTACAGGTGGGTATTGTGCTACGCATGATCTGTGATGTGCGCAACTCGGGGTGCAGACAGGGCTGCTGGGTGGTGTTTCTCTAGCGAATCTTGTTGGGTAGGGGAGAAGCAGCCCGGATCTTGTGAATAGTGAGATAGGCGTGACCAACAGCTGGTCTTGCGGTGGGCAGAGCAGACCTGGATGTGGCCTTCTGGGAGGGCTGGTGAGCGTACTAACAAACCCGCTTCCTTCCAGTCCTACTGTGGAGCTGTCCTGAGGGTGCTGGGGACGCCTTGCCAGCGAGCACCCCCTATCCCGCCGTCCACGCACAGGGAGAAAAGTTACTGCTGAGGACCTACCCGATGGAAGGACCCCTCTCGGCCCTGACCTCGGAGCACCAGGAGGAACCTGCTGGCCTGGCCCAGGCCCTGGTCCCCATGACAGCTGCGACTTCCTGCCTGAGGGGACTGCACTGCTGCAGCTCCTGGGGCTGCCCTTGACCAACTCTAACTCCAACCCTCCCCCCGAGCCTCCAGGAGCACGGAGTCCGGATGTGTGTGTGTGTGTGTGTGTGTGTGTGTGTAAATGGTGCACCTGTGCACGCTGGACCGGTTTCCTGGGGGCTGGGTGAGCCTAGGCTTTGCCTCACCATGGGTGCTGGCTCCAAAGGGGCTCTGTGGGCCAGGCCGTCAGCTGCTTGTCTGTCCACTGCGAGTCGACTCATGTCAGGGTGGCAGTTCACCTGGAGAGAGGATGGTGGACCTGGGCTGGAGCCCAGGCCCTTGCTGCACCAATCAGTGCTGGTCATCACATCTGTCCTGCCCTCCGGCTCGCACTCTGTCTTGCTTTGTTATTTTTCCCTTGTTTGTTTTTTGATTGAACAGTTGTTTACGCAGTGCTTAAGATGAATTATCGTGTGCCATAGATTCTGCAGATGCTGTCTCGTAATTTGTTACTTAATGGGGGCGGGGTTCCAGAACTTACATGGTGCCTGAGTCCACACACATGTGATGAAGGCCACCACCTAAGAGTTGGGGTCCTCAGGCTGTTCGAGGTTTCCACCATTTTTCTTAGTTATGTGTGCCATTGTCCCCGAGAGAGACACGTTTGAACAACAGCAGAACATCAGGCAGAGTGTTATATGTGTGGGGCCAATGGCTGGACACGGCAGTTGCTGGGGAGTGACATAGCCTCTGTTTAGGGAGACAGAAGGTGTTACACGTGTTGCACACATCTGTTTATACCTGCCAGACAGCTGGCTCAAAGACGTACTGCAGTGTTTTTTCCACCTTGAAACATCTTGCTTGCATACCAGTGCCTTTTCTGCATTGAGCTTCTTGAAAAAACCTCCACGTTTAGCTTCTGGTGTGACTGGAACATGACATTTGAGAAGCCCTTTTATATTTTTCAAAAGGTCTGCATGAGCATTGCTGACTTAGAGTGAGGGGAGCTGGGCAGCTCTTATTAACCCAGCTTCACAAAGCGGAGGCTTGGTCAAGTGTGTCCATATGCTGAGCATTACAGAGTAGACGGTGGAACCAGGCGAGTTCCCAGGGTTCCTGGAGTCGAAGCTCCCAGCTCTGAAACCTTAGGAAAACGTCCACAGCCATTTGCCACCTGCATGCCCAGGTGTGACAAACTAGGACTTTTTTTTCAGAGCCTTCCACACAATGCCCAACCAAGCCTTTCATTAACGTGTAACCAGGAGGACACCTGTGCCCAACGGTTGGGCTTCTTAGGAGTGAAACTGCCTTGGGAGGAGGTGTGATGTCAGGTGTGGGAGGGAGAGCGGCTTTCTTTGTACTTGGGTGTTTCAAGGACCTTGTTGTAACCTGTGCTGTGCCAAAGTGCTATCACTGTTTAATGCCAAACTTACAAAGATGTCCCCAATTGAGTTGTAGTACAAGGTGTGTTCCCAGTCCCTCTGGGCGCCTCTTCCACTTCCATGACTGCTTTCTCGTCCGTGGGAAGCCTGTGTTGTGGGCCATGCCTCCTGGTTGCTTCTGTGTTTAGTGATAGAAGCTTTGGGAAGTGAATCCTCAGTGGGTTGTGTATTTATACATTTGACTCAAAGCCTTATTTGTATATAACGATGCTTTTTTTAAAAAAAAAAAACTCAGTGTAGAAGACTATTTATTTCTCAAATGTATATATAATGTATGAAAGCAAATGTATGGTTAGATTTTTTTAAGATTAACCAGTTTCAAGATTTAAAAGATTTTAATATTAAAATAAAAAATACAAAATACTTAGTGGTCGGTGACTCAATTTTTTTGAAAAAGATTTATTTTATTTATTGGAAAGGTATAGTGACAGAGAGGGAGAGGGAGAGACAGAATCTTCCATCCACTGGTTCATGCCCTAAATGGTCTAAATGGCCAGGGCTGGGACAAGCAGAAGCCAGAAGCCTGGAACTCTATCCAGGTCTCCCATATGGGTGGCAGGGGCCCAAGTACTTGTGACTTTTTCTGTTGCTTCCCCAAAGGTATTAATAGGGAGCTGAATGGGAAGTGGAGCATCTGGGACACAAATCAGTGCTCTGATATGGAATGCCAGTGTCATAGCATTGGCTTAACCCACTCTGCCACAACATTGGCCCTGGTGACTCCATTCTTAAGATCTGAAAGAAAGGATGGCTGCCCAAACTGAGGATCTGACAGTTATTACAATGCAAGATATAATTTCTACTCGATACTCATTATTGGTAGGGCATGGATGTAAACACCTTTCCTTAGAGAACAAGAAAACTTATTTGAATTGCAGCAGGGAGGTCTGAAGGTGGAGTGAGCATGAGTGAGGGCACAGCGTGATTGCACGGAACTGAGACAACTGCGCCTTAAACCAGACAGAGCGGATTTCTCTGCTGCGCTCAAGCCCCAGCTGGTCTTGAGGTTCTGCACCATGGGGCCGGGAGGGTCCAGGACCTTAGCTTTCACTGTGCCATCCATAAGGCACCACCTTTGTCTCCGCAGCCCAGGGTGTCCTCATTAAGTCCCCCAGTGGCCAGAACTAATCATTTAGTCACATGAGAGGCTGGGGAAAGCTGTCTGTATGCAGGGTGCCCATATGCTTAGCTGGAAATCCAACTGCCACTTATAAAAAGGAAAATTGACTATTGCCATCTGTTTATCAGGGATTAACTTTTAGTCCCTAGAGGCAGGAAGACAGCTCGGTGCACCCTTATTTATTTATTTACAATACATAGATAAGAGACGTAAATAAGGAGAGGCAGAGAAAGATCTTCCATCTGCTGGTTCATGCCTCAGAGGGTCCACGCCATTAGCCGGGGCTGCGCCAGGCTGAACCCTGGAGCTGGGAACTCAGTCTGGATTTCTCATGAGAGTGACAGGGACCCAAGCAGTAGAGCCAACACCAGGCAGGCGCCGCGGCTCAATAGGCTAATCCTCCGCCTTGCAGTGCTGGCACACCGGGTTCTAGTCCCAGTCGGGGCACCGGATTCTGTCCCGGTTGCCCCTCTTTCAGGCCAGCTCTCTGCTGTGGCCAGGGAGTGCAGTGGAGGATGGCCCAAGTCCTTGGGCCCTGCACCCGCATGGGAGACCAGGAGAAGCACCTGGCTCCTGGCTTCGGATCAGCGCAGTGTGCCGGCTGCAGCGGCCATTGGAGGGTGAACCAATGGCAAAAGGAAACAAAAGGAAAACCTTTCTGTCGCTCCCCCTCTTCGTGGAGGAACGACACAGGACCCTGCGCTGTTCTTTCGTCTGCTCGGCCCTCCCCGGGTTTGCTGCTGGTTCTTCCCGGGTTGGCTATTATCCCTTCCACCTCCGTGGAAGGGCGGTTCCCCCTGGCCGCTTTCCCCACTTCCGCAGGGGAGCGGCACTCCGCCGGCCGGCTCTCTCGGGGGCTGCACAGGTGTTCCCCTTAGATGTTCCCCTTAGATGTTCCTGGTGCATGCCGTCTCTCTCCTCCTTTATAGTCCTCCTCTGCCAATCCCAACTCGGCTGCCCACACGCCGAGTACGCTGCTCTCCAATCAGGAGCAGGTCCTGCTGTTTATTGGTTGAACTGGAGGCAGCTGTGCGGAAGCTGTTTACTTCTCTCCCAGCGCCATATTGTGGGAGAGCAGATGCATAGAATAAGTCTTAATTCCAGTAACTCAGTCCAGTCCGGGCTGCTCCCCACACTTTCTCTCTGTCTCTCTCTCTCTCACTGTCCACTCTGCCTGTCAAAAAAAAAAAAAAAGGAACCATCGCCAGCTGCCTCTCAGAGTGCGCCGAGGTAGGAAACTGGAACCTAAACTGAAACCAGGACTCGAACCCAGGTCATCTGCAACGGGATTTGGGTGTCTTAAGCAGTATCTTAACCCATGAGCCCCTATGGCCAACTTTAATTGGCCGAATCCTAGAGTTGACCATTAGTAACCATAATCCGGCCCATCCTTGTGAAGTTGGATGGATTATAGAAACTTAACTTTTTTCTAGTCTTAACTCTTAAAAAACCAACCTCTGAAAATGGCAAGTTGGCTCTCTGGAAGGAGCACCTGTGGTGACAGGGAAGAGGCCCTTCTTCACCATCACCAAGGCCATCTGAGCCCGGCTCTGCCTCCGCAGCAGGGAACACGCCTCACCTTAGGGCCGGTGGCAGCAGCTCTGACGGCCTAAAGGGCGTGTATGAAGTTGCCCAAGGGTGGAGGCGTCGGCTGGATGACTATGCGCACACGCTGAAGCCCCAACGCCCTTGGACGTGTGGATTCCGACTAGGAACTAGAAGAGGCATCGTTGTCAGCAGTGGTCCCGTGGCCGCAGCCCACAGGCTCAGGGCCACCCTGGCCTTCTGCCGTGTGTGCACACACACAGAGACACTCGTCCACCTTGGGTACAGCCAGTGCCCTAGAGCCTCTGACCGTGTCTGGAACATGGGAGGTGCTCAAGGCACATTTCCACGAATAGATGGGATTAGGTACAAGAACCCAGCTGCTCAGATAGGCGGTAGGTGGGCTGGGGAAAGAAGCAGTTAAGTTGGAGTCAGAAGCCTGGGTCTGGCATTCAGCATTATGCAAACTGGAGGCTAAATATGAAAGTACTTCAAAACATTTAAGGAAAAACATAGAAGGAAAAGGTAAGCTTATTTTGCTGCAAAAAATAATAATAATAAACAAAAACAGAGAAAAAGAAGTCCGTGTCTAGTTTTTCCCATGATCTGCATTTCCCACCAACTTTCTGGAGACGTCTCCTCTGCTACATTCAAGCGAACCCCGACAGGGACGGGGCCGTAACGGCAGTAGTGTTCCCAGAGTTGGCAGGTTCTCGGAGGTCTGCTCCACGCCTCACGCAGCCAAAGCCCCGCAGCGACGGAGCTCACTTTGTCTTGGGAGTGAGGGCCTGAGAAGCAAGAGAGGAAGAGAAGGCAGACTTTGAAGGCCAACTCCAGTTAAAACACTTATTTACCAAGGCCCCGTCTGGATTTGTCAATCGCTGACACTTGTTTCCTTTCTTCCCCTCAAAAAAAAAAAAAAAAAAAAAAAAAAAAAAGGCACTTTGTTAAACTGTTTCCACACAGTGTCTGGAAAACATGTCCCCATGTGGCTTGTCAATGTCCCAGGGTCCCTCCCTGGTGGGCCTGGCGCACAGGATCGCGTCTGCTGTGGCAGGGGTGTCCCCTGCTCCACCAAACAGGGCGCCCAGCGTCTCTTCCTCAGCCCTCTTGCTTTCGTCACTCTACGCCCTATCAGGAGGAGTTCCCATATTGCAGCGGAGTTTGACGGTCGCTTTTGAAATGGCCCCAGACCTTCCCGTCCAGCGGGTGGATGTCTGTCCTTTTCCCAGCCGTTCCTTTCTTGCTGGCCGTCAGCCACGTCAGTGTTGTCTGCTGTTTCCCCGGGGCCTGGGGCCTCCTCTCCCGGCCCCTCTCACGTATCCTCCTGTTGCTGCAAACATACCCTTCAAGTGCTCCATCTCCCGAGGACACTTAACTTCCTACCCCCTCCGCCCAAGCTCTCTTTTTTTCAGGGCAGCTGATCGCCACGGGGGTGTGTTGGAAGTTTTCCACTGAGCTAAGTCGTGCTCGTGTGTCGATGGCTAGCAGTCTTTTAGCTGGTCCAGAGTTACATGTGTGCTTTAAAGAAGGGGCTCATTAATCCAAATTCATCTTTGATTTGCATTGAGGCAGCAGAGCAACTGGAGAGGAGAGTTTCCCTTTAGGGTAGGAAAATATTAGAACAGGTACAGGCTGGTTCCGCTTGGGAATCTTTCCTCTAATCAAATCCCCTGAAATATCCCCAAGTTTCACAGTTGATTTCATCCCCCAGCTGCTGAACTCCTAGTCTTATAAGTAAGCCCCAGCATTTGTTTGTCCCTGTCTTTCCTCCCCCGGGGGTTGCCATGGCAACAGCAGTTGCCATGGAGAGGTGCAGACAAGTGTCAAGGCCTCTTTTGTAACTGGGGGTTATCTATAAATTGGGGGTGGCCTCTGTTAAGAAAAGATTAATAAGTAAATGAGACAACTCAGAATGAAACAAATATAAACCCGTCATTTATTTTCCCAAAGCTCTGTGGTTATTGACACCACTTAACCTGGATTCCTCCTCTATCACGCCGGTGCGCATACGTGCGGTGGAAAAGGACTGTTGCAAAGATCTGGAAGCTATAAGATAGCCCATGTCCAGAGACCGGCTGGGGCAGCGGGCAGCAGTAATGTGGGCCAGTGCCGATCGTCTCAGCCCACAGGGACCCACATTCTCCCTCGCTCAGTAATTTCCCTGGAAAAGAGTGCCCTTGGAAGCAGAACTGGTCACTCGGATGCTGCATGTGAATCTTGAACGTGTTCAGGCTGAGAACAGAAGCTGGGGAAATCTCACTGGAATGGAGATGCTAAGATTAAGCTTGTATTTATTTGGGAGGCAGAGAGACAGGGAAAGTGAGCTCCTGTCTGCTGGCTCCTTGCTCGCCAAACGCCCACAGCAGCTGGGGCTGGGCCAAAGAGGAAGCCAGGAGCATGACCCAAGTCTCCCACGTGGATGGCAGGAACCCAACTCCGGGAGCCGTCACTGCCACAGAATCTGATAGCGGGCAGCTGAAGGCAGACGCTGCAGCGAAGTAT